AATCGCGATTAATCACATCCAAAATAAATGTTTTTGTTTACATAATATATGTGTGTGCACTGTGTATATTTATTACGTATATATAAATGCAAACACATGCATGTATATATTTAAGAAAAATGTTTATATATTAAATATATTTATATATAATATAATAATATAAATGTATATGCATGTAAATATTTTCAAAATATATACTGTATGTGTGGGTATTTATATATACATAATAAATAAACACAGTACACACACATATATTATGTAAACAAAAACTTTTATCTTAGATGCGATTAATCGCGATTAATCGTTTGACAGCACTAATTTATACATTTAATACAGCTTTTTTTGAAGGAATAGCATAAAGTGTAACGTAAACATCATTACTGCTTGTTATTTATTAAATAAGTACAGTACATTTTTGTTCATTGCCTCCTAAATCAAACGTAATGGACAGCAAGAATTTGGTTATTTTCTAATAAATGTTTTTACTGGCCCCTTATAAGCCAAATCTACTGAAGTAATATGTGTCTTTCCCGCTGGTTTAGATTGAATCGATTGAATCAGAGGCTTTGATTTCGTATTATGAGACATGTGGTGGAAATATGTTCTGATGGGACTGCTATATTGGTATATGTTAGGGTCAACTTTACTGAAGTTTTGTGGAGACTGAGTAACATTTTGTTTGACGTTTTGATATCTCGATTGATAGGCCTGATCCAGTGTTTTGTCATTTGCGTATATCAGTGTTATGAATCTGGATGATCTGACGAGGAGAGGTCTGTACCTGAGTGATATTCCTCTTCATGACGCCACCCGTGACCTTGTGCTACTGGGGGAGCAGTTTCGCGAGGAGTACAAGTTGACCCAGGAGCTGGAGATCCTGACCGACCGTCTGCAGCACACGCTCCGAGCCCTGGAGGATGAGAAGAAGAAGACAGACAGGTCAGTCCTCTGCGGAAGCCCGTTTAAAATAAAAAAAGTTTGTATCTCACAAATCTAACTTTTAAGTCAGATATAAGCTGGCAATTGCGATTTACAAAGTCAGAACTGTGTGATATAAACTTGCAAAAGTCCAATTCTGAGGAAAAAAATACTATTTTCTTACAACTGCGAGTTTATATCTCACAGTCTTGACTATATAACTCGCAATTGCAACTTTATATCATGCAAATATTACTTTATGACTCGGACTTAATTCTGACTTTATTTCTCAGAATTGCAAGTCTTGCAGTTCTGATTTCATAACACACAATTGCGATTTTATATCTCACAATTTTGACTATATAACTCGCAATTGCAATTTTATATCATGCAAATATGACTTTATGACTGGCTTTATTTCTCAGAATTGCAAGTCTTGCAGTTCTGATTTCATTACACACAGTTGCGACTTTATATCTCACAATTCTGACTTTATAACTCGCAATTGCAACTTTGTATCACGCAAATATGACTTTATGACTCAGACTTAATTCTGACTTTATTTCTCAGAATTGCAAGTCTTGCAGTTCTGATTTCATTACACACAGCTGCGACTTTATATCTCACAATTCTGACTTTATAACTCGCAATTGCAACTTTGTATCACGCAAATATGACTTTATGACTCAGACTTAATTCTGACTTTATTTCTCAGAATTGCAAGTCTTGCAGTTCTGATTTCATAACACACAATTGCGACTTTATATCTCACAATTTTGACTTTTAAGTCAGATATAAGCTGGCAATTGCGATTTACAAAGTCAGAATTGTGGGATGTAAACTCACAATGGTGAGTTATGAAGTTTGTGAGTTACGTTTTTCCTCTGAATTGAGTGATATAAACTTACAATTGTGACTTTTTCTTAGATTTGCATGATTTAAACTTGCAATTACACGTTATAAAGTCAGAATTGTGAGATATAAACTCACTATTGCGAGTTATGTATCTTGCAATTCTGTCTTTTTCTCACAATTCTCACTTCTTTTCTCAGAATTGTGAGATATAAACTTGCAAAAGTCCAATTCTGAGGAAAAAAATACTATTTTCTTACAACTGCGAGTTTATATCTCACAACCTTGAGTATATAACTATATGACTATATAACTCGAAATTGCAACTTTGTATCACGCAAATATGACTTTATGACTCAGACTTAATTCTGACTTTATTTCTCAGAATTGCAAGTCTTTCAGTTCTGATTTCATAACACACAGTTGCGACTTTATATCTCACAACTCTGACTTACAGTATATCTTGCAGTTCTGACTTTATTTCTCAGGACTGCAAGTGTGTATATCACGCAATTCTGAGAAAAGTCAGGAAAAAAGTAAAGGAAAAAAAGAATTCTGAGATGTGAATTCGTAAAAAAAAAAGTCAGAATTGTGAACATCCTACATCATTCTGATTTATTTTTAAGGGTTGAAGGTTGTAAATATAAAAATATGGTCTTATGGCTATGTTATGAGATATATTGCTGCACCAATAAAACTCTACTCCAATTCGGTGTTTAGAACTTGTTTAGACGTATTCACATACATTTTTAAACATTTTTAAACATTTAAACATGGACTGTAAATATTATTATGCAATGGTACCTGGATTATTTTATATAGCAATAAATACTGTTGTTTGGAAAATTGAATGAACTCAGAATGTCTTTATCCTGAAGTTTTGTGTGTTATGTTCCGTATTTATGTCATTCATTTTCGTTTTCTATTCTTACTAGTATCTACTGTAGATGATAATCAGTAGAGACCCACAATCCGGAAAGTGCAATAACACAGCCAGGGAAGATGTCAAATCAAAGAGAATTAAGTTATTTTCATCTTTTCATCAGTTTAGTTTTTACTGGCCATAAAAGTGGGCTCAGGCTTCATTTTGGCCAATTTTAGCTTAGCCCATTTTCCAGTTACACATGGAACCCAACTCGATGGTGATTATTATTATTATTGAATATGTAAGTACAATTAGGGATCTCAAAGTTAACGCCTTAACCTATTGGTTTAAATGAAATGTTTTTGTGAAAGCAAGCCAACTCGCTTGACCTTTCCCGATCCTGTCCCCCTCTCTCACATCACTTCCTGTTCTGTCGAAATAAATGCATAAAATTCCACAAATAAATCTTTAATAAAAAAGATAATTCTTATATATATTAATAAATTAAGTAGTATTAACTTAAGCCATTAAATTATTGATTCAAATTAGAATTAAACATTAAAAAAAAAAAAAAAACATCTTTAATTAATCTTTACCATTCGAAAAACTTTATTGTTTTCTATATCTTGGAAATAAATATGAGCACACTACATTTTTGTATGAAAATGTATAGTTAGAGGAAGATTTCAGTGAATTCAGCTGTAATAGATTAATCATATTCCTTGCAAAAATATCATGAGATTAAACGTAGTATTGTTCAATTTCCGATATATGTGACCCTGGAGCACAAAACCAGTCTTAAGTGTCAATTTTTCAAAATTGAGATTTATAATCATCTGAAAGCTGAATAAATAAGCTTCCATTGATGTATGGTTTGTTAGGATCGGAAAATATTTGGCCGAGATACAACTATTTGAAATCTGGAATCTGAGGGTGCAAAAAAATCTAAATATTGAGAAAATCATCTTTAAAGTTGTTCAAATGAAGTTCTTAGCAATGCATATTACTAATCAAACATTAAGTTTAGATATATTTACAGTAGGAAATTTACAAAATATCTTCATGGAACATGATCTTTACTTAATATTCTAATGATTTTTGGCATAAAAGAAAAATCTATAATTCTGACCCATACAATGTATTGTTGGCTATTGCTACAAATATACCCCAGCGACTTAACACTGCTTTTGTGCTCCAGGGTCACATATTTTTTATGCTTCTTCCCATCCCTTCTTCACTGAATGAAAACCTTTGAGAGTCTGTGTGGGGCTTACAATAATTTCCCGAGAAATAAAATAAGCGGCTCATCTCCTCTGCATGTCATCATTACCTTTGTACAGTAATCTGTAAATTACATTACATGTCAATCAGACCATCTCTTCCTGTCTAAATGGGCGTTTGATGGAAACAGACTGTAGTCTGATCCGAGACCATGTGCGAGACCCGGATCCAGACCAGTACACTGAGTAATACGACTAAGGTCAATTTTAGCTCTAATGACTAAGGCCCAAACCTAGATGGCAACCTAAAGCCCTAAGCTCTGAGTCTGTAGTTTGGTGATATAATGCCGCATAGACTGTCGCAAGGCTTATGATAAAAAATAAGCGTGATATTGGTTTCGCTGATTGATCGTTTCCCCTGCGTATAGCTTTTTAAGATGGAAAATGAGGCTGTATTTGCGCTCTCCATGGGGAGCCTCGGTCTGTGAGCTCTGTGTTTGTTTTTATAAAACAGAGAGTTCCGGTGCTTGATTGTGATTGGCTGAGCCACGTTTGAAGCTGTTGTAAATAACTCTACAAAGTAACATACACCTTTGTTTACGTTTGTGTGTTGCTCGGCAACCACTTTGTTGCAACCACAACTGTTTCTGAGGAGCTACATTGTTTGGTGGAAGAATACTGTTTTTATTAATATCATTACACTTTATTTGCTCTGTTTTATTTTGTGAAACCTTACTACATATATGGAATAACCGTTTTATAAAAGCAATAAGCCCTGTGAAGCCGTGGTTTACAGTGAATTTATAACAGCTAAGGGGGTATATATTATAACTCCGCTTCTCATCGTACCTAACAACGCCCCTTAGCTGTTATAAATTCATTGTAAACCACGGCTTCACGGGGCTTATTGCTTTAATTAAATCTGCTGGAGAACCTTGAACATCACCAGAGACCTTCTCTGTCATCCACACAGACAGTAAATACCAGCTAGAGCTACACGGCCGCCTGTGTGCAAGTGTTACATTTTAGAATTTAAAACATGACTGGAATTCCGAGGAATGGGCTCATAATTTTCATACACATTTGAATACGGACTAGGTTATTTTCTCATTTGTGTTGCAAATTACATTGCTTTGAGTAACTGACGTGTGGTTATGTCCTGGTAAGCATGTTTTTTATAGTTCATTTCAAATTTACATTCTTGTTTTTTTCAGTAGTGTTAGGTCACATACATTTCTTGGAAACCTGTGACTTGTTGATAACAGGTAAACAAATGGGCCGTGTTCTGAATGTGCTGAATAGTGCAGCCTTATCTTCACTAGCAGGTGTCCTGCACTGAAACTTGCATTTTTCAGTTTAATCAGTTCCTCAATTCAAGCCTCAAAACTGCTTAAGTTTCCTTAAAAAAAAATGAGGAAAACATATCTCTTGGTTTCATTAGTGAAAAGTTCTCAATATTTTCTATGCAACACTGAACCGCAATTTCTTTAATGAAATATACACACTATTTTTAATTATCACCTTAATTTTTTACAGTTTTTCTCAATTGCTTTGGCACATTTTTCGAAACAATCTTAACATTCTCTAAACTGTGAGTGCAAATGTCACAACTGTTTGCTGGAACTTCAGAACTTTATTGCATGTCTGCAAAATGTAGTTACTCACCCAAAACATTTCAAGAATTGAGCCAAAGCAATTGAGAAAAACTGTAAATGAAAATTACAAGACCCATGATTAATTTTTTACAGTGTTACTGGGCAGACTGGGAGTCTGAGATGAAGAACATTTGCTGCCAAAAGCAGCATTTTATTGTGCAGCAGTAATATGCCAAAAACATATTACTGTTCAAAAGTTTGGGGTCAATAAGAAAAAAAAAAAAAAGTCAATACTTTTATTCAACAAGGATACATTCTTGTAAACTGATTTAAAAAAACATAAATAGATTAACAACGCTACAAAAGATTTATATTTAATGTATAGATAGATAGATAGATAGATAGATAGATAGATTCATATATAGATAGATAGATAGATAGATTCATAGATAGATAGATAGATTCATAGATAGATAGATAGATAGATAGATAGATAGATAGATAGAGCTGTGATGTTGGCTTTCATCAGTTGTATAACTGAGAGATCTGAAGTGCCTTTTGATTACAGACGTTAGTATTTGTGTTTTCCCATCAGCAGTACAGAATAAGAACCGAACAGATGTGTGAATGTCTAAATGTAGAGAGCCAGTACTCAAACTACTCTGGATAATTAGCACTCAACCTTCTGGGAAAGTACAGTATGTAAAAATGTAGAAATGATGCGCATTATCCCATGGTCAGTTGAAGTGAATTTCACAAAAGGATTCATTTTGTATTAGATTAAATAATATAGGTATTCTAACAACTGAAGTAAACAAATGCATCGCTTTGAATGACTACAACAAATGTGACAGATTTCCCATCCAGTGACATTGAATGCAATGAATGCGTATTTTTCAAGAGTGCACATGATAATGATGATGCCTCTTTGTTTCAGATTGCTGTATTCGGTTCTACCTCCGTCTGTCGCCAATGAACTTCGGCACAAGCGGCCCGTGCCTGCTAAACGGTACGACAACGTGACCATTCTTTTCAGCGGCATCGTCGGGTTCAATGCGTTCTGCAGCAAACACGCATCAGCAGAGGGAGCCATTAAAATCGTCAATCTGCTCAATGACATCTACACCAGATTTGACATTCTCACGGATTCTCGGAAGAATCCTTATGTGTATAAGGTGAGTGAATTTCAATCTGGAACTTGACATTTGGATCCGCGTTTTTGTTTAGTGCTTGAGGATTGATAGACGCATTAAAAAACCTTTGTAACCATGCTCGCAGACATAGACGGAGATATTTTTGGCCATATCCAGAGATCTTCAGCACACAACAGAAATAACTCTATGATTGTGACTGGGCTAAAAATATCTTGACAAAAATGACAACTCTTGTCAAATATGTGTTAGCCACAAACGTTAACGCATTATAACTTGCAAGGTGCAAAATATAAAAATCTACTGTAATTTCAAAGTCACTTTCAGCAAGCTAACAGTAATAAAGTGTCACTGTGTACAAAAGTTCAGCTACAAAGTTCAAAGACAAAAAATCTTTATGATGCATCGTTTTATGATAAATCTTTTATGACGTTCCTAATTAATAAATGAATGACTATATTTAGAGCAGGGTGTGAAGCTTCTTTTAGGTCAAGTGGCAGATTGAATCTTATGTGGGCTGATTTTTTTATTTATTAAACTTTGCTTTAGGCAACACAGAGTGCATATAAAAATACTGGGATACAAGAGAAGCACATTGAATTTACTAATTAAATTCACCAGAGGCTTTAATCAAACAACAATACTGATATATTTGATAACTTTGGCTTTAAGCTACAGTGAACATTAAAAAAGTTTTTGTAGCTTTGCAGAAAAATTGATGCCTTTTTCTTCAAGGTACTTTATAAGCATAAAATCTTTTATGCATTGATTTCTGTACAAAATGGCTTGTCACTTGTTTTTCCGTTCTTGTCCTGTGGTGTATTGTAAGCATTGTATCTGCCTTACTGTTACATGAATGCTTTGTTTCTGTCTCTTTGTGTTTTCCCCATGACCAAGTTTCATTCTGTTCACCTGTTGCCTCGTTAATTAACTCATCAGTTCCTTTGTTTGCTTCGTGTACTTTAATCCTTAGCTCTCCCTTTGTCTCTGTCTGTCTTTTGCAAGTTTGTTTCCGCTAATTAACTGAGCTTTGAATGCTCTATACCACAGTGGCTGTGATTTTACAATGTTTTTTTTTTTCTTCTTTCTACCTGTCCATGTTGTCATGTTTACTATGAGCGGAAATCAACTGAACAGTTGCATCACCCACAAATCCAGTTTCAGCTGAAAGTGCAAATTCATGCACAGGTGCCAGATGCTACGTGTAATTACTACTTCTGCTTTAAAATGTGAGCTATAATACTCAAGTTTAGCTTAAAATAGAATGTTGTGAATTTATCATACCCATAAAAAAATCATAGTAATTTTCAAATAATTTCACATGCTGGATTTAGAACTTCCAGAACAACCATTAACAGCCATGGTTTTGTTTTTTCTGTAGATTTATTAACTTTCTGTGCCTTTTAGCCGGTACTTTATCACCAACACATCATGTACAATGCTCTCTTAAAAACAAGGGCATGAGAACATGTCCTTGATTTACGTCCTAGGCGTAGAATGCACTTCATGTAGCTTTGCTAACTAAACAAAGCGGACAGGTAGAATTTCAAGGCTGGCTCATCAAAAAAAGCAATATTTACTTTAAGCCAATTGTATCTACATGATCCAAAGGTCTCATGAAGGACTGGGCTCTCTCTTTAGACGTTGTTGTGATGGGTATGAGGTGGGAGAACAAAACACGAGGAGTTAAACTGGCAACATTTGCAGTGTGCATTGTCAGGAAAACTTGGATGAATCAAAAGTGTCCTAAAATTGGCTATCTTGGATGATAGCTTCATTTTGTAATTTTATTTGGCTGTATTCATATCACAAATTAAGACCAGTTGTTATCTGACAGTCAAGGCCACAAAATATCGTTAAATGGTTTAATGAGTCAGTTAAATTAATTTCTCATCTTGGATATCCATTAATCAATACATGATGATTAAAAATGTTAAGTAAATACACTGCCTGACCAAAAAATTTAAAAAAAAATAAAAATAATAATAATAATAATAATCACCGTTTGGATTTAAATAAGTGAATACTGAAGAGTCTAGGATTGGATCATTGTTGCAGTGATTAATACATTTCTGGCATGTTCCTTTTAAAGGTGCTGTATTTAATTTTTTGACTGTCATAAGGTATAAAAATACCATAATATGTTTGCAGATATTTAGAAAACAAGTTCACAAACTTGTTTCTCTGAAAAATAACGCTACAGCCAGTTATTCTGCTTTAAATTGTGCGTTCCTTGTCGGGATGTCTGGTTTTGTTTTGGTCTGTGTGACTCTGCCCACTGCCAGTTTAACCAATAGGATTTCCACACGCCGGGTTGCCAGTTGGTGGAAAACACAGCGTATTGCAGCCATGGAAGCCAGCAAACGAACTGAGTCAGAGATCGTAGATTCTACTCGACCTAAAAAGCCTCGGCATCCAACTAAAATAAAGCTCTTTGACCAGAGGCATATTAAAACACAGATAAATCAACTCATCAACTTACAGTGTAAGGCTCGTCGCCTTCCAATTTTTTAAATGGGGTTACGGTCAGGACTCTGGTGGCCAGTCTTTCACAGTTTGAGCCTGATGAATTTTTGCATATGGAATATGTTCATGGTTACGTCTTCTGACACGGTTGTTTGAGAAATGAAAAGATACACACTGCATCAGTTATGGTTAAATAATTGTTGCCAAACACACAACATGCCAGAAACATATTAATCACTGCAATAATGATTCAATCCTAGACTCATCTGTATTTGCTTATTTAAATCCAGATGGCTTTTTTGGCCAGGCAGTGCATATACATGTTGTGCAAATATTATTGCATCAGGTAGGTTAGTGTTAAATGTGTTAAATATAAAATTGGGCTAGGAAACCTAAAATATCCCAGTGTAGCTCCTTTGAGGTTCATTGTACCCGCAGGCACATTAGCTATTTTTTTTGGTCTCTGGTTTTAAACCATCTCTCTATTCTCTGACAGGTGGAGACTGTTGGTGATAAGTACATGACCGTGAGTGGTCTTCCGGAGCCCTGCACCCATCATGCAAAATCCATCTGTCACCTGGCCCTGGACATGATGGAGATCGCTGGACAGGTGAAAGTAGACGAGGATCCTGTGCAGGTGATCACTTTTCTTGACCCAGATACAAGTTTAAACAAACAGAACATTTTTTCACATTTTTATGCATGAGGTTCTTTTATTGCAGAACATCTTATCAGCTCCACACTGTAAAAAAAAAATTCCGTAAAATTTACGGTAAAAAAATGGCAGCTGTGGTTGCTGGAATTTTACCGTAAAAAAAATATGGTAGCAACCTTTTAGGTTTTACGGTTTTAACTTAAATTTACTGTTAAATACCGTAATTTCATTAACTGATATAATGTTAATATACCATATACCAACGTGAAACTGAAATAATGCAATAAACATTAATTTAACAACATTAGGTGTGACACACAACCCTAATATACAAAACTGATAAGAAAAAACTAAGAAGAAACATAGTTATTTCAACAAAAAAAACATCAAATTTGAAATGTAACGCAGGGAATTCTGGGAATGTCAATTTACGGTTATTCACTGTAAATTATACGGTCTTTTTCACTTTCAAAAACGGTATACTACCGTAAAAACGGTACGTGTCGGTAATGTCCAATACAGTTTTTCACCGTATATAGTAGGGGAATTTACCATTAACCATTTAACAGGTTTTTACTGTAGCATTTTTACAGTTTTTACTGTTAAATTCACGGTATTTTTTTATAGTGCAGGATAACGGAGTATCATTTTCATTCTCAGAATAGCTGAATTATGTGGACGCAAAATTAGAAAAGTATTTGCTCAAATCTTGTCTTAGCCTGCTGACTGTAAGATTGAGTCTATGTAACAGAGAACATTACAGCGTCGTCACATGAACAAGAATGTCCAGTGCTTTACTAATTATCAGTACTGTTGGAATGCTGAACCAATCAAATTAGACCAGGGGTTCTCAAACTTTTTGGGCCTCTTAAAGTGAAGAAAAGTTCCCAAAGACCCCCTCAAACAGTGATTAAGCATATGCTTACTACAGTTTGTATTCTTTGATGTCACTGGAACTTCTGTTTTCATTTTTCTGGATTCTGCTTTTTCCGCTTTCATTTTTCTGGATTTCATTAAATTGTAGTAATCAAAATTAACACATCTAATTAGCTGAAATCATAAAACGTATCAAATGTAACAACAGTTTCTTTGCTTATGTATATAAGTATAATGTATGCATAGATTCTGTGTTTCCTGTTTTAATTTTTTCTGGATGTATGATTTAATACAAATTTATTATCAAAAACAGAGTTAATCAGATGAAGGCATAAAACATTAACTTTTAAAATGTAATCAAATGAAGATTTAAATGTTAATATTTAAACACAAAAGAAAATAGAATTAAATAAAGTTTTAATAATTGTATTATTATTATTATTATTATTACTTTGAGATGTACATTTATTTCTGTCAAAATTTCTTCAAGTTAAACTGACTTTTATTTTGATGGGTTGTTGTGAAGACAAGTTGTGTGTATGTGATATGCCGACTACACTATAGAGATTTCATTAAGTGTACAGCACTACTTTTGATTTATTCATCCAAGATTTGACAAATTCCGAGACATTCCATGTCTTACAGTAAATTCCATTTTTAGGATTGGATTCCGTGATTCAGTCAGCCACACTGTTAAAAAAAAAATCACAATATAATACATATGGAAGCCCATTTTTTACCACTGAATAAAAAATAAAAAAGGTAATTGTGACTTTTTATCTCACAATTCTGATTTTTTTTTCTAGCAATTCTGACTCAGAATCGCGTGATATAAACTTACAATTCCGAGAAATAAAGTCAGAATAGCGATTTTCTCAGAATTGCATGTTTATAACACAATTCTGACTTTACAGCATGCAATTGCGAGTTATAAAGTCAGAATTGTGAGAATTCAGTCAGAATTCAGTGGTGGAATTCCATATAATACACAAGTATATACTGGTCATTGTGTATTTATAATTGAATGCATAAATAAATCCTGAATGTTTAGACTTGTTTAATGCGCTGCCTCATAGCATCAATTAAATGACATATCTTGCATATTTTGTGCACCCACCCACCATGCTGTCCTTCATGAAACACCCCCATCATAACACATGTTGCTGCGCTTTAGCCAGTGTATTAAGGATGCTTTATGATTTCTAAGAATAGCTCTAGAATGCATCTCAGAGGTGTTCGACGTGTCTGCGGTAAAGTCTCTTTAAAGGCTCTTTTGTTTAACCAGACGGCACAGGTATGTTATTATATGTGCGACTGTTGAAGATGTGCCTCTGGAACACTAAGAGCATCTAAATTAGAGAGACGACTGTATTAAGCGAATGGCACGGACACTTTCACTCACACACTCACACAAAAAACACACACACACATGTTGTGTTTCCATGTTTTATGGGGACATTCCATAGGCGTAATGGTTTTTATACTGTACAAACTGTATGTGCTATCGCCCTACACCAACCCTACCCCCTAAACCTACCCCTTACAGGAAACTTTGTGCATTTTTACTTCCTCAAAAAAACTCATTCTGTATGATTTATAAGCTTGTTTCCTCATGGGGACCTCAAAAATGTCCCCACAAGGTCAAAATTGACTAGTATTACTATCCTTGTGGGGACATTTGGTCCCCATAACGTGATAAATACCAGGTACACATACACACACACACACACACACACACACACACACACACACACACATATTGCTTCAGCTCATGAAGTTAAAAGAATAGTTCACCCAAAAATGAAAATTTGCTGAACATGTATTCACCCTCAAGCCATCCAAGATATAGAGGAGTTTGTTTCTTCATCAGAACAGATTTGAATAAGACTTCAGAAAGAGCTGATAAAAACATCACAATAATCCACAACATGACTCCAGTTAATGTCTTATGAAGAAAATAGCTGCATGTTTGTAAAAAACAAGTCCATAATCTATAATAACACTTCCTCCAGTGAAAAAGTGCCCTGTTGTTCTCTAACATCAAAATCCTCCAACATATCTGTTTAGAATGGCTTTGGACTGTTTTTTTTGCTTGTAAACAGTGGTTAATCTGTACATATTTCTCTTCTGGTTCAGATAAGACAACTTTTATAGTGGCAAAAACAAAATCTGCACTATATATATATATATATATATATATAGTTGTATTTTTTTAAATAAAAATAAATAAAAAACATTGTTGGACTGTATTGTATAGTTTCTATACCATTTTTTCCCACTGTGTTTGTATAAAGTCACGATTGTAAGAAAGGTCTTCTGTATCAACAAAAAGGACTTTATAATATAAAATATAATATAATATAATATAATATAATATAATATAATATAATATAATATAATATAATAAATATAATATAATATAATATAATATAATATAATATAATATGCGACCCTGCAGCACAAAAGCAGTGTTAAGTCGCTGGGGTATATTTGTAGCAATAGCCAACAATACATTGTATGGGTCAAAATGATAGATTTTTCTTTTATGCCAAAAATCATTAGGATATTAAGTAAAGATCATGTTCCATGAAGATATTTAGTAAATCTCCTACCGTAAATATATCAAAACTTAATTTTTGATTAGTAATATGCATTGCTAAGAACTTCATTTGGACAACTTTAAAGATGATTTTCTCAATATTTAGATTTTTTTGCACCCTCAGATTCCAGATTTTTTAATAGTTGTATCTCTGCCAAATATTGTCCTATCCTAACAAGCTTATTTATTCAGCTTTCAGATGGTGTAAAAAAATTGACACGGTTTTGCGGTCCAGGGTCACCTATAATATAATATAAAAAAGAAAGATTTTTGTGTGAATAAATTGAATGTTGTTTTTGTGTTGTTTCGGTTCAGGTGTTTGCAGTCGGTGGAAAACGCTGATCCTCAGTTTCGTTTGGAGTACAGAGGACCTGTAACCATGAAAGGAAAAAAAGAGCCAATGAAAGTGTGGTTTCTCTCACGTAAGACCTAACGGACGCGTAAAAGACAGTTTTTAGTGTGTTAGTGCACTAATGTGTGTACTCTGGGTGCCAACTATTGAATTGATTTAATACAGAAACATCTGAATAAATACATGGTACAGATACTCTATGCAACATGCAAACGTGCTCATCAAGTGTTTATTTCCATCATTTTATAGCAGAGTATGCGACAGTATTCAGATTTTGTTTTTCATGACTGAGCAAAACAAGTTATTTCACTTTGTCTGTATTTAGAGTGTTCGAAATACCTAAAACACTGTTTTTGTTTTAATTGTGCACATTAATTGAGAAATAAACCTGCAGATGTTCAGAGTCACATGTATTATATTGGAAATACTCTATAATTAATTTCGCTAGACGGATGCATGCTGTAAACAATAAAAACGCCTGCACATTGGAATCATATTTACACTCTTACATTGCATCAGAGAATTTGCCAAACATGACGATATAAGCTATTTTAAGATCACAATTTAGTATATGCTATTGTGTTGCTATGAGGAGTCGTTACTGCGTGAATGAATAGATTCTAAACGAGTTTCTATGTGAGTATTAACCATTTGAAAAGTGCATCCGTTTGTATTCGAGTTTGTATTCATTGAATCTCACAGATAGAGCTCTGTATCGTAAACCTGTCACGTCACGATGCTTTTCTGTGCACTGCTGTTTGCTGTATATATTTAAGTCTTGTATTAAAATGTTATATAAAAGATCTGCATAGTCTGGTTGGTTGGAGTTTTCTTATTCGGTTAAAAATATTCATGAGCGCTTCATTTTATGCCCCTAAATATATTCATAAGTCTGTCTAATTGAAATACAAACATGCAGTCAAAACATAAACATAGTCAAATCACCGGAGAAATATCGGCTTTTTACAGTCAGACATTAATAAATACTAAAGCACACATGAATGAGGCAACGTCCCAATATTTTTAATATTTACACTTCCATCTTAGAGAAATCATCTTTCATTTGTAGATTATTGATTGTGTAGTTAATCATTATCTTCTGGACATAAACACCGTGCCATGTGCAGCAAGACAACTGATTATGTCATAAAAAGATTAAAACATCATAGAAACAATCTGTTTTGAAATGGGTCTGAACTAAACGTCAATGGGAAGATAGCATGACTTCATCCGGATTAATAAACAACCTTTCATGTTTCACAGAAGAAAACGTGCAGGAATAAAGCAGATCATTTGCAGCCTTCAGTGTATGAACATGACTTAAAACCACATATGCAAGCAATAAATAAATAAATTAAACAACTAAATGGTAACACTTTAGTTTAGGGAGCAATTTTCACTATTAACTAGAATATTGGCTGTTTATTAGAATTTATAAAGCACATATTAATGCCTTATTCTGCAAAGATCCCTTAATCCACCCAATACCTAAACTTAGACTAAAGTAATTATGCAGAAAATTCAGCTTTGATCACAGAAATAAATTACAGTCTAATGGATATTCACATAGAAAACAGCTGTTTTAAATTGAAATAATATTTCACTATTTTTAATATATTTTTGATCAAATAAATGCAGCCTTGTTGAGCATAAGAGACTTCTTTTAAAGAACTCTTATTAACAATTTTTACAAACCGTATCACTCTTATTTTAGTTAAAATTATTAACATTTTGCAGACTCTGCAAGGTAAACGTATAACCACAGCTTTTTGAACTTTTTTATTTATTTATCATAAATTAGTTTTCAGTTGAAAGCTTTTCTTATCTTTGCTTTCAATGGGACGATACCAAAGGTCTTGCAATGGGACGATAGCAAAGGTCTTCAGAGGTCTCATTATATTGCGCTGTTGAGAGATTAAGCCTGAGGTAATGATCAAATAAAGCATTATCAGAGATTATCATGTCTCTTGATATCGCTTTATCTTGTCGTGGAGTCTCCAGATGAAATTTCCACACCGCATGTTGCTTTGATTTCATATCTGGCAGGCCTTGTACAATTATTGGCTTAAATGTGACCCTGGACCACAAAACCAGTCATAAGGGTCAATTTTTCGAAATTGAGATTTATGCATCAGCTGAAAGCTGAATAAATGAGCTTTCCATTGATGTATGGTTTGTTATGATAGGACAATATTTGGCCGAGATACAACTATTTGAAAATCTGGAATCTGAGGGTGCAGAAAAATCTAAATATTGAGAAAATCATCTTTAAAGTTGTCCAAATTAAGTTCTTAGCAATGCATATTACTAATCAAAAATTAAGTTTTGATATATTTACGGTAGGAAATTTACAAAATATCTTCATGGAACATGATATTTACTTAATATCCTAATGATTTTTGGCATAAAAGAAAAATCTATCATTTTGACCCATACAATGTATTGTTGGCTATTGCTACAAATATACCCCAGCGACTTAACACTGCTTTTGTGCTGCAGGCTCACATATGTACATTATTAGTAAATATGCCTCAGCTCTTCTCACTCAATATTTGAATCACTAAGCAGAAAGAGTGAACGCTGGTGAGTTATGACATACAGAGAAGAAAAGCCATGCAACTTTCACCATTCTCAATAGGGTTAAAAAGCACAACAGAAGTCGAATTACACTTAAATACTAAAATGCATTGCTTAAACACACCATTCATAGTTTCACCGTTCAACTAGTGAACAGACACACCGTACACAGTTTAAACAGCAAACAATTCAGATAAAAGCAGGACAATACAAGCGAGCGCTTGTTCTTACGGAACGACTTGAAGCCTCAATCAATGAAGAAGCGAGGCATGTTGGCATGTGTGATGCATGGTGAGATTTATACTCTGAGCTTTACTCAGCCACATCAGCATGAAGATAATACTCCGATAAGAGACTCGCGCAGGTATAAAAGACAGACTCGGGGTAAAGTTAGGCCACCGTCAGGATCACAGCAGTCTGTCATCATGGCCTTCAACGGGACCTGGAAAGTCGACCGCAATGACAACTACGAGAAGTTCATGGAGGAAATGGGTAAGTGGACATGAATGCTGCTGGAATCTTCTCTTTCTGAACCTGTTGAGTGATTCAGCGGGTCATTGTTTATGAGGTGCACGTGTACTGCATGTCTTCAACAGGCATCAACATGGTTAAGAGGAAACTAGCGTCTCATGACAACCTGAAGATCACTGTGGAACAGACCGGAGACAAGTTCCACCTGAAGGAAGTCAGCACTTTCCGAACGGTGGAAATTAACTTTACTCTAGGCGTCAACTTTGAATATTCCATGGCAGACGGCACTGAGCTCACAGTAAGCACAAGAGGCGTTTTCAGTCTTAGACACTCTGAAGGTTCTTTATTTCAATCCGTGATTCTATAAAGACCCTTTTAACGTCCTTGGAACCATTGCACAAAAAGGTTCTTTACAGCGGAAAGATTGTATAAAGCGTTCTTAACACTAAATAGGCATGCATATGGTTATTTTGAGAAATATATTTGGGAACCCAAAATGGTTCGTTGCTGCAAAAAGCTCCTTTTATTTTTAAGCATGTACACTCTCAGGGGAAAAAAAAGGTACAAAAGCTGTCACTGGGGTGATACCTTTTCAAAACGTACACTTTTGTGCCTTGTTTAGCCTTAAAGGGTGCGTATGTGTACTTTAAAGGCACATATTTGGAAAAGTGCACCACTTCAACATTTAGATAATATGTACACTTTTAGGTATTAATATGTACCTTTAAGGGTAAATAAGGAAAAGGTTCCGCCCCAGTGATGGCTTTTGGACCTTTTTTTCTGAGTGTGTAATGATCAGGCGCAAAAGTTGAGATGCATGTTGAGCAGTTCTGAATTTAGATGCTGTACATTATCTCTTTTGTGTTAAATCAGCGCCAAATGTACATTTACTGAATGCTGCGAACTGATGCTTTTCTAATGTTCACGCCTATACGAGCCTCCTGAAGAAGCAGTCTGTCACAGATCGACTCGACCTATCGCTGCTCAGTTCAAAATGAGTCTGACCTTTGACCTTCTGGTTGCAGGGATCCTGGGTCATGGAGGGTGACACGCTTAAGGGGACGTTCACACGCAAGGACAACGGAAAGTTGCTAATAACAACCAGGAAGATCATCGGTGAAGAACTTGTACAGGTGAGCTGCTGTTCAAGACAAATCCTCAGATCAAACTTTGTAAATGCTGTGAACTTGTGTTGCCTTACGCTTTTTGCTTGCAGGCCTATACCTATGAAGGAGTCGAGGCCAAGAGGATTTTCAAGAGGGGTTAAAATTATCCAAAAATTCCAAATGACAACTCTATTGAAACTCTATTGAAGGATATTCAACCTGATAAGTGTTTTAACAATTGGCAGCCCTAAAGTTTACAAAGCATGTATGTATTGCACTGTGAGTTTTCATATTTATGGTAATAAAGCCATTTTTACATCCGTTTTTGTTTTTATGCAGTATGTGTTGTGAGTGAAATTGTCGAATGAAATTATTTCAACTAGAAGGTACATTTTTAAGAAGTAAAAAATAAACACAAAGAAGCAGGTTGCATCAGTGATTGAACATTTGAGGTTTATTAAACAAAGAATAAAAATAACTGCATAGACATCTCCAAAAATATATAGCGGATATCATTTTACATTATTCATTTACTCTGAATCATGTCAATATTTTGCATGAAAAAAAATTGCATGAAGGCACTCCACACACAACCTCTAGGGAGCATGTACAAAGGACCATTTGCATTGAAATTAAAGTCAAGGACACACTCTTTGTCTTTAAGACTAGGAAAACTGTTTCTTTTAGATGTATATATACTGTATTAGCTGTCACAATTCAGTAAAAGATAATCAACGGATTCGATATTCAGCATAAAGTGGTCATTCCTGTTCACAAGCAATTACTAATTCAAGTCAAAGTGCATACTGCCCCCCTGTGGATGGCTCTTAGAAGATACTTGAGTGTCACAAATATGATCCATATTTGTTCAACTTCTTTGGCAATTCTCTTGCATTACGGCTCAGTGGGTCACCAGGACCTGATGAGAAAGAAGACTGATTATACGGCATTGTGTTTACATACACATAGTTGGAGAACGGATGGATGTTTTTAAATACATAAGGTACCTGTCAAAAGTCTGAACACACCTATTCATTCTTTATTATTATTATTATCTCAAAGCACATTTTCACAAACTAGTCAACCTATGGCTAAATTCAGAGCAGCACACCAGTGTTATTTTAGTATTATATATATACTATTATAGTTTTTATTAATATTAGGGATTAGCTTAGTTATCCTTTTTATTAGTTTTCTATTTAGCTTTATTTTTTTTATTTTATTTCAATTTTAGTATTTTAACTAATTGGTAACACTTTACAATAAGCTTTATTAGTTAACATGAGCTAATCATGAACAATACTTCTACAGCATTTATTAATCTTAAACATATTGCTCATATTGTAGCTTAAAACCAGTTAAACTCTGCGGACCCGGATACGGGTCCAAAATGACGTAAAAAATGTTTATGCTTCATTTACATAGCCTTCCTTATATGGTATCAGCCCATATATGGGTTCATTTGAAAGCTTGGAGTGTCTCTGACTGCACTCTAGAATCTAGATACAGATTTTAAACATTGTATTGCAGTAAAGTAGACGACTGATATTTATCTCAGCCATTATGATCTATGACTTTACAAAATAAAGATTGGTTAACATTAGTTAGTATGCATCATTAACTAACTCTGAACAACTGTTTTACTGTATTCAGTAATTCAGGTTCAAATAATAATCATTCATTGCTCATCTATAAACTGATTATTAATAATAAGATTCATGTTAATTTTATACAGTGACACTTTAGTTTAGGAAGCAATTCTCATTATTAACTAGTAGCTTAGTAGTTTACTAGCATGCATATTATTGTCTGTTTATCAGTACTTATAAAGCACATATTAATGCCTTACTCTGCATGAGCATATTTTAGATCCCTTAATCCTAAACCGCATAGCTAAACTTAACAACTAGCTTACTAACTATCAATAAGCAGCACATTAGGAGTTTCTTCAAGCAAAAGTCAGTTAATATTTAGTGAGAACTGGACTGTTTATACAACTTTATACAAATACACTAGCACTTTCTTATGTGTAAATTAATATGAATCTAAATTAATTCATTCTCTAAATGTGTTCATTGCTAGTTTGTGTTATTTAATGCAATAACGGTAACACTTTATTTTAAGGTGTCCTTGTTACACGTTACATCTACTTACTATTATAATAACAATTAATTATGCATAATTGCATGCAAGAAACCCTAATCCTAAACCTAGCCATATAGTAAGGACATGTAGTTAATTAATATTACTCAGTACTTAAATGTATAATTACATTGTAACAAGCAAACCTTAAAATAAAGTGTAACCGCAATAACTAATAAATGTTATTAGTTATTACAAAAATAGTGCTTTTTAAACTCGTGGATTTGGACCGACAGAAAAAAACAATATCTGAAGATTTAGTGAGAACTTACCATAACTTTCACAAATATCCATGTTCATCCAGCCCTTTTGAAGTGAAAGGGTGCCATTTAGCAGTGGGCTTACTGTTGCTATTGCCTGGAAAAAAATCATTTAGTTTAGTTAAGCTACTAACTACAGTTAACGAGTTATTAAATACATGCACAACTGTTCAAAAGTTTGAGATCAGTAAGATAAGTAAGGATGGGATGTATCAAAGTGAACTAAAGTGCCAGTAAAGACATCGCTAATGTTACAAAATGAACACATTTCAAATAAATGCCGTTCTTTTGAACTTTCTAATCAAAGAATCCCGAAAAAAAATGTATTTCAGATTCCACAAAAATATTGTGCAGCACAACTGATAATAATCAGAAATGTTTCTTGAGCAGCAAATCAGCATATTAGACTGATTTCTGAAGATCATGTGACACTGAAGACTGCAGTAATGATGCTGAAAATACAGCTGCGCATCACAGAAATAAATTACAGTTTAACATACATTCACATAGAACACAGCTATTTTAAATAGTAATAATATTTCAGAATATTGCAGTTTTTACTGTATTTTGGATCAAATAAATGCAGCCTCGGTGAGCAAAAACTTTTTTCACAATATTACTGTATTTTTGATCAAATCAATTTGAAGAGACTATTCTTACTGACCCAAACTTTTGAACACGATAGCCTCTCAATGACTGAATGAGGAGATCAGCGGAGCTTTAACACACCAGAGTCGGGCTTATTTTTGGCACGCTCAGATTGTCCCGTGTCTCTCCCGTCCTTCACAGCTCCTCTGGGCTCAGGCATGGAGAGGACTAGCGGCCTCTGGTGGTGATACTTTAGTCTGTAGGTGTCTGTCATACAATTATCCACCGAGAAATAAGTCGTCAGTGCTACTCCAGATGCTGAAGCCGACGGCTTATCCCAACCACAAGACACCTGCTCCCCTCTCTCCTGGTCCGAACCCGATTTTGAGCTCGCGTCTGATGAGCTCGGGCACGTGCCGTTGATTTCCATTCGCCTGGTGGCATGACGGAAGGGTGGCGTCTTTATCTCGATGGGTCGCTGAGCATGTTTGGAGTGAGTTTGCATGGATGGAGCTGTGGCTGGCTCCTCTCTTGGCTGCGGAGGAGCTGGAGACTTGTGCGGAGCGACTTCACTGATGCTGGAACGATACGCACTGTCCTCCTGCTCTGAAAGAGGGTTCGTGAGTTCATCAGAACTGTTACACTCTGAACTGTTGATCTTGTCCAGGCGGCGCAGGAGAGGGCTTTCTGGGCTGTGGTGCCATCGCATGGAAACTTCTTGCTGCTCTGCTTGAAGTTCGCCGGCTGATGGGTCTTTCTCTGCGTTGCTCCCTTTCCTCGCACCACAGGAGGAGTATCTCAGCTTCCTTCTGTGAAGCATGAACACATATGTGACCCTGGAGCACAAAACCAGTCATAAGGGTCAATTTTTTGAAATGTAAAGACAAAGCCTGTGAATACCTTGAACTTGGGCTGCCCTTCATGAGATGTTCTTTGTTCTTTCCCTGAATTTTAACCAAATGCTTACCTGAGGGAACAAAATGTGCAATCATTTATTTTTTGAAACATGAAACAGACAATCAAGCCTCGAAAGGCGAATTTTTGCATCTCTGACAAGGGTGTGTAACAACTGCCAAAATCGCCCTACACACTCACTAGGACACATCCTACTCACTTATTTATAGACAGACTATTCATCTCTTTCCTGCTGAGCTCCATGTGAGGATAAAGCCACAGGATACAACATGTGCTCCAAGTCTAAGCTTATGGAATACATTTTACACTTAATGATGTTTTTGTGTTTTTTACTTTCACAGTGTTCCTGTAAGTCTCTCTCTTTACCGAATGTGTGCTGTCCTACTGCCTTCTGGTGCTTTTCCCTTCACTAAGAAGGGGCTTCTGGGACACAGACGTGGTTCGGAAATACATGCAGATTTGAAAGACCGAGATATCAAGGAGTGTGTGCAATTTAAGCTTCATAAAGCATTCGTTTTTCTCTCTTATCTTTGTGTTCCGACGTAATGCATCAGTGTTTAGTGGGGCAAAGTGTTTTACATTTTAAGCTGCTTCTGTCTCTTCTCGCAGCGCGGGAGGAGAGAGAGGGATTTTCTCAGGCTTTGGCATGCTACTACCATGGAATTACTGAGAATTACAGTTGCGTAAAATCACAAAGTGATTTTGACGGAGCTTGGTTTCATATGTAGCTGAAACTAAAAGACCGTTTTGAGCGCATGCTACACGATGGGATGCCAAATGTGACATGAAATGCTCATTCTGTGAATGGAATATGCATTTAGATAAAAGATGTTATGTCCTCTACAGAATGAGCATTTTGTGACATTTTGCGATTCGTGAAATGGAATGTACAAATGCATTTTGTGACATTTTGTTCACGAAAGGTGTTTTTCGTTTAATAATTTTGTGCACAAAATGAAGCATGGATCTTAGTTGCTACTGTCAAATGCATTAAGGTATAACTGAATTTGTTATAAAATTTGTGGGATTTTGTGTCACGTAATTCATTCAGTCCATGGAATTAGTTACTAATTACTAAATTACAAAGCACAGAAAAATAAAATTTGCTTTTTGGGCTTTTCCCCACTTTTTACATGTGCATGGACTACCGGATAGGCAGAGACTACGACATAACCGTTGGTTGTAAAATGTTAAAAAAAGCAAATTAACTAATCTGAAAAAATATTATACTTTGGACCAACTTTAAAAAAAACTAAACAACAACAAAAACAACAAAGAAATGTGTTACTTTGTTAAAACTTTAAGCCAAATTTATTAGTTTTTCTCAAATTATATTTACGGTTTGGTCAAACATTACATTTTGATTTGATGTTAAGCAAACATATTTATTTTTCCAAAGACAAAAGCATTCATACAAAGTAAAAATAGAATTTATTTATAAAGACCATATACTTAAATAATATATTTTCTTTAGACATAAGCCAAAATGTTACTTATAAATGAATAGTTTACCCAAAAATGAAAATCTATCTTCTACAGTGAATGGGTGCCGTCAGAACGAAAGTTTAAACAGCTCCATCGATTAATGTCTTGTGACACAAAAAGCTGTATTTTTTGTAATACAATTTGCTTCCGGCTAAAATACAAATCCATAATAACGCTTCCTCCATTAAAAAATTAGTCTGGTCTGAATCAGGAGAGAAATCTGCACAGATCAAGCCAAAACAGCTCTAAACAAATATGTGGCTGGATTTTGATGTGAGAGACAACAAGAGATGCACTTTTTCACTGGAGGAAGCATTATTATGGATTATGGACTCTATGGTATTTTAGTTAAAAGTGTCTAAATGCTGGATTAGTTTCAGCTTTTGTCTTCTCCACATGTTAACTGATGGACTGGAGTGCTGTGGATTACTTGTTGATTATTGTTATTTTTTATCAGCTCTCATTCTGACGGCACCCATTCACTGCAGAGCATCCATTGCTGAGACACTGATGCAATGCTACATTCCTCCAAACCTGATGAAGAAACAAACTCATCTATATTTTGGAGCTTCCGCTACGCCTAAGTCATCCCCAGGTATAAAACGGGGGCATGAGCACACATCTCCTATACTTATTCATGATTTATAGTTCAAACTCTTGCTCTAAATTTAGAAAAGAGAGACACTTTGAACAAATGAAACGATGCAATGATGCAGCGTCGAAACCATGATTTTGACTATACATGGGCAAACAAGAGATGATGCCATGGCGTATTATCAATACTCACTGTGGTACAGTGGAGAACGCACTGCCTCCGTTTTGGCATCACCTTGATTATTATGGCCTTGATCCCTGAGGAAATACATCACTGAATCAAGACCAAGGTATCCAAGTTACACACTTATCACGACGTAATTTCTCCTACCTGAGGTGCTGTGCATCTTGACGGAGTCTGAGCTCTTTGCCCGTGAAGTTCTCCACACCTGGAGAGTCAGGATTGGTGGAACCATTGCTCAACCTATCGCTGCTCTCGTATCCTGATTCTGTCCTCTGGATCGTCCAGTTATCGCTCCGCTGTGCTACATGCGCTCCACCTTTAGGCTTCGTCACCATCGTCTGTCGCTGAGACTCCTGGGAGCTTTGACTTTCAGTCTCCAAACGCAAGTCATCTTCATAAATAGTCATCAGACCTTTTTGTTTTTCCTTCATCAGTCCTCTCTCATGGCCAAAGCGATGGACACGTCGAGGGCTCCCAGGCTGCTGCTGCTGACGGTGTTCCAGTTCGCTCAGCACGCTGTCTACATTCAGGACCTCTCGCACTGGTCTCCATGACGGCTTGGCCTTGCCACGCTCAGATGAAGATTCAACGTGAGGACTGGCGCCAGTGGCCGCTGCCTGGTTAGAGCGGGACTCCTGCGGTGAAGCGCGAGGATGGGCTGAAGAAGGCTCGGCTCGAGAGACTCGTGAGGGGAGAGTTCTGTGTCTCTGGTCCGAATGAAACCTCGGGCCATTCTCAGGGGGAGAAGATGATCGAGGATATGGCATATCTAAAAAACAACAATAATAATAATAATAATAATAATAATAATAAATAAATAAAACATTATTTTAATTAATAAGTAATTCAAATTATATGTAGTCCAAAATGTATAAATGTCTTAACACAATATGCAAAAAAAAAACAAAAGCATCTGACAAAAAAGGGTTGTGTGTAAAATTGTAAAACTGTTGATATATTGTTCAAAATAAAGATACTTTCTGGTTGTCATATTTTGTGACACTTGAGAGGATCTGGCTATATAGTCACCTTGATTTAACAGGTTTAACACCTTGATTTAATTTTTACAGTGGCATAAAATGTATTTGGAAAACAAA